GAACCAAACTCACGACCTTGTGCTTGCCAGGCAGGTGCTTTGCCACTGAGCTAAATCCCCAGCCCCTCTCTGTTTAATTTCTAATTATATTGATGTGGGTCTTCTCTCACATTTGGTAAGTTTGGCTAGTAGTTTATCAATCTTATTTTTCCTTTCAAAGGACCAACTCATTGATTTCATTGATCATTGGTATTATTTTTATTGCCTCCATCTCATTAATTTCCACCCTGAACTTCTACTAGTTCTTTCCTTCTACTAGTTTTAGGTTTATATTTTTCCTCTGTTTTTAGGACCTTAAGATGCATCATTAGGTTATTTCTTTGGTATCACTCTATTTTTCTAATGGAGGCTGTAACCCTTCCTCTTAGAACTGCTTTCATTCTGTCCCACAGATTCTGATATGCTGTATTTCCTTTATCATTTGATTCTAGGAATTTGGTAATTTCTTTCCTGTGAAACATTCTTAAATAGGAATCTGAAGTAGTTGCTTCCCTCTTTTAGCAATATGACGAGAAGAGGAGCTACAGTCTGCCTTGTGTTGCCTTGAGGTAATTTTGTTTACTTGTTGGCAAAACTGTACAGAGTGGATGAAGGCATTTTATCCTACGTAAGTCTTCCCAATCTCACCATTCTATGCCGTGTTATAGTTCTAAATTGCAAACATCCTTCTGCCTGAAAGTAAAATGCCACTTGACATTTCAACAAGCTACAATTCAAGGAAATGAAAGAACAAATACCAATGTGTGATTTAGTGCAGCAGGATCTTTACATGAAAAATTTTTATTACATCTTTTTGTCACCAAGGTCCAAAATGTCTAAAAGCAAAGTAATTGATTAGAAGTTTTAAAAACATGTATTCCCATATTCTAAAGTAAGTTCTAGATCCTCACTCAGGCTCAGTTTGCCAAGGAGATGGGTCCAAAACTAATCTTGTGCTAGTCAGACAAACTACCATCCTGGAGGAGAAACAGAAACGGGGTGGACATTATCAGAGAGATGCGCATAGAGGCTCCCAGAGATAGGAGGGAGGCTTCTTTCTTTCACATTTCTAGCCTCAGCGCATGTTGACCAGTCAATGAACTCAAGGTATGCCACTTAGGGTAGCCACTAGAGGGACACAGTGGATCGGTATCTCATTTGTACCCCCAAAATTCTACTAGCAAGAATTGTGGCTGGAGCGATTCAGCTGTGCAGGGATGGGGTGGGAAAGTGGTGGAGCTGGTATAGCAAAGATATGTGAGTCCCTTGTCACCCAGACAGAAGCAAACCCGAGACAATGTGAAAGAAAATCCTGATAGTGAGAGGCTGTTGGTGCAGCAGAAAACAGGTTGGTGTGCATCAGTACAGGTGCGAGCTATTCAAGATGAGCCACAGTCACTCGGAGCACGCGGTTGGGAGTGTAACTGCAGAAGTCCCCAACGTGGCCATCAAAAAACCCTCAACTGATCCTCAGATAAAAGAGTGAGCCTGGCACATCTGCCAGGTCTAGAGAACAGCAGAGGCAGCTCTGCCCGCTCCATCACCGTCCTCCTTATCCACTCCTACCCTCAGTGAGCGGGAAACTGAGACCGTGAGTGACAGGAAGGAGAGAACGGCGGCTCCTGCTGTGCTACTCCACCTGTGCAGCACAACAGTTACAGCAGGACGGAGCTGAAACACGGAGGGAATTTCATGAAAAACTATTTTCTTCAGTTCTAAGTAAATTTCATTTTCTTTCCTTTCTTGGAATAAGTAATTAATCCAAAGTACTGAAATTTTTTACTATTTTTCAGTTAGTAGGTTCAGATATCTCTCTAAGAATTCTGCATTCTAACTGTGCATGCATATTGGATACTGTTTTTATAAATGTTTATGAATACCAAACTGATAGTTAACAACCTAAAATGGAACCCATCAAACCCAAATAATTTCATTGGTAAATTTTACCAGACCTTTAAGGAACCAGTGACACCAATTCTCTGCACTTTGTTCCAGAACAAAGAAGAACAAGGGCCACTTGTAGCACTGTTTACAGCCTGCATAACTGTCATCCAAATCAGAAAAGGTTCAATACAGAAAACTACAGGCTGATACTTATCGTGAACGCAGCTGTAAAAATCTGCAACAACAAAGCAGCAGAAAGTCAACTCCAAGGATGAAGAAGAAGAATTATATACTGTGGCTGAGTGAGGTTTACTCCAGGTACGGAAGACTCACTGTGGTGGGCAAGATTAATTCTCCACCTCCTGGGCTGCACAGCCACCCAGGGGGTTAGGAAGACATACTCTGGGTGCCTGGGTGGGTCATCGAGGTGGGACCTTGGGACCGTTGCTGGCCCCAGGTACTTTCCTCTCTGCCTGGCCCTGTTTCCTGACTGCCGAGAGCTCAGCAGCTTTGCTCTGCCTTGCTCTTCTGCCTTGACGCCCCCCCAAGGGCCCAGATGCTCATGAACTGACCACTGTGAAGCTGTAAGTCAATAAATCTCTCCCCCTTTAAGTTGCCCGTGACTGGCAATGGGACTCAGTGACACAAAAGGTGACCAATACATGAATTCACTATTGAAAATTAATTATTATAATGCATCACATCAACAGGCTGAAGAAGAAAAATCATATGATCACATCAAGTGCCAAGAGAGCATTTCACAAAATCCAACACATGTTTGTCATAACTTTTATCAAGGAAGGGAATAGCCTTAACTTTTATCAAGGAAGGGAGTAGCCTAGATAAAAAATATCTACAGAAGATGTAGAGCTAATGTACTTAGTGATGAGATGAGATACTGTGTGATTTTCCTCTAGGGTCAGGAGAGAAAAAGATGCTTCCACCTACCATTGTGATTCAACACGTCAAAAGTCCCAGCTGGTACAAAAAGATATGGAATGGAAATAAAAGTATTTAGATGAGAGAAAAAGAAATTAAAACTTCCTTTGCTTAAAAATGACATCATTATCTCTGTAGAAAAATCTACCCAGGTGTGGTAGCTCACTCCTGTAATCTTAATACTTGGGAAACTGAGGCAGTAGGATCTCCAAGAGTTTGAGGCCAGCCTGGTCTACATAAGCAAGTTCAAAGCCAGCATGGGCTACAAAGTGAGACCCTGTGTCAAAAAAATCCCATATTTTTTTTTTTTGTTTTGGAGAGTTTATTTATTTGTTTGTTTTGTTTTTCTTTTGAGGCAGGGTCTCACTACATAGTTCAGACAGGGCTTGAATTCACTATATAGCCTAGGCTGGCCTCAAACTTGTGAAGATCCTCCTGCCTCAACCTCCCAAGAGCTAGGACTACAAACACACCACACACCCAACAGAAAATCTAATACTATTATCAGTTGTTTCCAACATGATGCATGATGTAATACAATCTCAATCATAATTCTAGCAAAATACTTTGTGGATATCTGCAAACTCACAAAGTTTATATGAAAAGACAAAAGATCCAGAATGGCAAATAGGACATTCAAAAACAAACATTATCGGACATCAAGACTCGCTATCTAACGACAGTAACCAAGACATTAACCTGTTAGTGAAAAAATAGAGAAATAGTACAATAGAACAGAGGTCAGAAATAGACTCATACAAATACAGTCATTGACTACCTTGGAATTGCATCATTCATAAATGCCAAAATATGGAAGCAATCAGGATGTCTTTTAATGGTGATAGATAAATAAAGTGTGGTATATTTGTACAATGGAATATTATCAAATAACAGTTAAATCAGGTATGAAGTCAGGGTAGGATACTGAGGAATGCTAAATGCACATACCTACTGCAAAGAAGCTAAGCTAAAAGTCTGCTCACCATGTGACAACAATTATATGACAATCTACAGTGAGCAAAATTAAGATGACAGTAGCATATCAGTGGTTGTCTAGGTTCAGGAGGAAGAAGGGATGGGTCTATGAATGGATTTTTAGGGCAGTAAAACTACTGCATTTTGATACTGTCCCATAGAGCTGTATGAACACGGAGTGAGGCAAAAGGTAAACTATAGTGCTGAGTTTCGTTAGCAGTAAAGTATCAGTATTTTATATCAGTTCTAATGAATACAGCATACATTGTACAGCATTGTATGTGGGCAGAGAATGAGGGTTATATGGGAACTTTCTATAGAGTTTTTTCTGTAAACCTAAAAAAATATTATAGGAACATGGTAAAACATAATGTCAATTTTACAGAAGTAAATAGAGCATGCCAGGCATAGTGATGCGTGCCCATAACCACAACACTTGGGAGGCTGAGGCAGGAGGATATGAGTGCAAGGCCAGCTTGGGATACATCGTGCATTCAAGGACAGCCTGCACTGCATAGCAAGATCCTGTATCAAAACAAACAAACTAAAAGAAGTAAATAGAGTAAATAAAATTATCCTCTGAAAATAAAATAATTGTTTCATTCAGTAGGCAAAACTGTGAGCACATGGTTACAGAAGAAGTGTGAGACCACCTGCCACTAGAAAGTAAAAGCATTGCAATAGCAGATCTAGCAGAATAACAGAAGGAAAGGTCTGAGTGACACAGCAACATAACAACAGCTAGAAGGCTTAAGGAGGGTGATGTCTGACACTGAAAGTTAAGCTTTTGAAATTCTTTTATGTAAACTGTGCCTTCTCCACAAGACAGAAGTGAAGTCTGACAAACATTTATAGATAAATAGACAGATGATAGATTATAGATAGATTATAGGTAGATAGATAGATAAGTAGATAGACAGATAGATGATAGGTAGATAATGGATAGAAGATAGATTGTTTTTTAGGAAGGGGATAATTTTCACAATTAGGTTGGTGATAGAGTAAAAATAAAAGACTAGATGGTACTGAGTAGAAATAAAAAATTCAGTGAACTCAAGAAACTATAACTAGATACACCCCTGAGAAGCACACACTCACCACTCAAAACACACACACAGATGAAGCATTCACTGAACCAACGCAGAGAGCAGGAGGAAGTTGAGCCGACTTGTTTTATTCTGTAGACTTCAGTGAACATCCGGGTTATACTTAAAACAGCCTACCTGTATGCTGAGTCATCTTTTTCCTTCTTATTAAGTAGTGAATGTTCTGCTGAGTCTAAACACGATTCCTCTTTAGAAGAGAAATTCTTTACCCTCATACTTTCTTCTTGAATCTCACTTTCCATTAAATTTGTATCACTTTCAATAGCAGAAAAACAGTTTTTAATATTCCAATGTTTCGCCTAAAGAAAAGAAATCTATCTTATTTTTGTATCGTTTACTTTTATCAAATGGTATATGTATATTTACCATCACTAGAAAACTAAATTAAACTTCTAGGAACACACGTGTACACACACAATATCAAAGAAATGATTTCTGTCTTCAAGGACCTTACATCTCATAGGGAGATGAAATATATTCATGTAACTTTAATAAAGATAGAAAAGTAGAATTGTCATAAGAAACAAAAGTTCTCTGCAGAGGTAATTTTTTGCAGTTCTGACTTTAAAAATCTTGAATAACAGGACATATATTTCCTAAAAATAAAATGTTAACATTTATTGAAGATTTTCCAGAGTTAATTTTTCCTACTACTTTCTTTTCATCCTACCTTCTAAAGATAAAAAAAAAAAAAAAACTCAAAAGCCATTCCAATTATTGAATATTTTCTCCTGGAAAAATATATGATGGTTTTCACAGATTTTTGGCAAAACTTCTTAACATGCATCCACCAAGGAAACGCTCCCCACTGACAATCCATTTCATATTTTTGAAACAAGGCTGAGCACACAGGGATATGGAACACAGTCTATGTGATAGGAGGGAATGTATTCCAACTCTAATTGTCTAGCTAGCCTAAAAACTGAATGGCCTTGTCCTAAGGGTTTACACAGTAAAATGCCTGGCAGAGCCAATACGATGACGTCAATGAACAACTGACCCTCGTGTAGGTAATACATGGGCAGTAAATAGCAAATGAAATTCGCCTCTGTGTCTCACTGGTCAGAAAGAGAAATGGGGACTCTACTGAAGCTCAGGGAGCCTGTATTTGTGCGAAGGACGCTGCTGTGGCTTCAAAGCAGTTGGACTGGCCTTCCAAGAGTTCATGTCATGGAATTTGGTCCCCTGGTGTCAAAGCTGAGACAGAGCGTGCAGCCTTCAGGAAGTAGGGTGCAGTGGAAAGCGTTTAGTGACGGGCCGTGCTGCCTCCGCGGGAGCTAAGGTAGTTCTTGTGCATCCTACCGAGCTGGTTCCCCAGAGAGCAAGCCCGGCGCTCCCAGGTCTCTGGCTTCCACAGCGAGATCTCGGTCTTCACACACGCCCACCGCCATGATGCCGTCTTCTCTGAGGCGATGCAACCAGAGGCCCTCATCGTACTCTATGCCATCTCTTCTCTATAAACTACGCAGCCTCAGACATGTCACTTTAGTAACAGAAAATGGACTGTCACCGGGGTCAAAGTTACTCTCAGGAAATGACCCATGTTCTTCATCAAGAGAAGCAAGAAATCTGGATCTCTACATGAGATCTCTTAAGATTTAGATCAAACTTTAAGCACTGGGTGCACAGACACAAAGTCCTTGCCACCAAACCAGTCAGACACAGAGAGTTACCGCGCGCACTCTGCCCAGCACAGTGGCGGGTAGCGCCGAGGAGAGGCCCTCACGAACTGCAGACACCAGCTCCTTTCTTCCTACCCCGCCGTCATCTGACAGGTTCCTGAATTAATGCGCATGCGTGAATAACCATCTTCACTTATTTCTCCAACACTAGAAACAGGCGTACCGCAGAACCCACTTTCCAAATCTAACCTGAAAACTAGCTGAAGATCAGTAGTTATTTATAAAAAGGGTTCATAGGTATTTCTAGAAAAGGCATATGGAACCATACTGCATTAAAGTTAAATACTTTAATCAAAATGTGCATCCAATATTAACTCAACTGAAGGACATGCTATGTTCCAATGTAGAGCCAAAGTCACTACTCTGTAAAGCTGAAGTTAGTTCAGGAGGGTTTATTCTCACCCTAGCTACATTTGGTAACCAGACTCCACGTGTATTTGTCCGTCAAATTTGTTCCCATTTTCGGTATAAAGGATGTTTCCTCTTGCACATCATGGTCAAGACCTTCCCTGTAGCTCCTTTCTAATGTCTTACTTTCCGCTCTCCCTTCCCTTCCTTCTCCTCCCCTTCTCTCCTATGCTCTTCTCTTCCCTTCCACCTTCTTTCTCCCTTTCTTTTACCTGTTTCCCCGATACTAGCAATGTCTGTATTCAAGGCCGCTTGCTAAAAGTGAATCCTTTATCTTAAAGGGGCGGGGGGACACAAAGGGATTAGAAGTCCAGCCGGCCTCTCTTTGCCAGCCTTTCATTCTAATACTGCCCCAACTCTGGTGGTTCTTTTTGTATCCCACATAGAAATTTTTAAAAACTTATTTTCATACAGGTTTTCAGAGCTGAAGTTTTTCTAGATATATAAAGGGGAATTAGCAAAATCAACTGAAGGAAAATGTTAGTGCATGTAAATAAAGTTTACGCGTACACAGTTGTTAAGACAAAACTGAGCTACATGTTGCGTTTGGTAGGCACAATTTACATAGCACTCACACTAGAGTGGTCTTATTTCCTGCTTTGGTCCCATCTGAAGGACTCACTACTCCACGCTTCACCCACCTGGCGTCTTCAGTGTTACCCAAACCCTCCCGCCCCCTCACCAGAATCTTCACGAACGTCTAGCGGTGTCAGCGTTGATGGCCTTCTTGTTTTGCCACACGCAGGCTTCCAGCTTCTTTCCGATCCAGACTGCCACCCACGTGCCCCCGGGCTCACCGCCCACACCCGCTCGCACAGCCCTCTGAGTCCCACTAAGCTGCCGCCTTTCCTGACCGAGAACAGTCTAGTGCTCACTCGCCTCACTCACAGAGCGGAAGACAGCGACACAGCTGTTCATGGCTGCACGGAGGCTGCCGTACTGCACGTCCAGGGTGAGTCCACCGCCTCACATTACTTCTGACGTACCATCAGCCTGTACGCCTTAGGGTTTCACAGAATTCTTTGAGCCCTGGTTGATCTCATCAAACTGACTTCACAAAGACAGCAACAACAATCTTTGTCTGCCAACACTGGGAGAATCACCACCTCTCACAGCATGAGGTGGTCACTGAGGCTGCCTTTCAGAACCAAGAGAGCTAGACACACAGAAGTGTGGCTTCAGCTTCAACCCGCGCCGCCATGCGTGAATAGTAAGGGGTGGAATCAGACTTAGTATTTTCCCCAGAGCAAAAAGAGAACGGAAGTAGGGTACCTATGAAAGCAGTGAATGTGAGACAATGAATATTTCCTTTTTCCGGTGCTCCTGACTTCCATTTTCTTTCATAGGCAGGAGCCCACTAGGGTTTAATGTTCTGGGATGAAAGAATTAAAGCATGAGCTCTGACATAGCATTAGATAAAAATCAAACTCTGCCGTTTATTAGTTTCTGTGAGCTCAAGAATAGGCTCAAACTCTTTTGAGAGTTCCTTCCTCCCTCCCTGCAATGTACTGCAGATGTAGTGACTTGCACCTTGCATTTGGACATAACATTTCTGTTTTGAGTTAATATTGTTCTAGTAATTATACAAACAGGATACACAATCTGATTAAAGATATAGAAGATATATAAATATTTTAGTTCTTCCGGGTATCCAGGGAATACTTAGCAAATGTCAACTACTATTATTCAACAGAAGTAAGCCAGATAATATATAGGGAGATTTGTTCATTTTGCAAAATTTCCTATATTTTGACTGTTACCTTTATTATTACTTGATAGCCAGGGTCACTATCTATTTAATAATAACATGTAACTTTTATGCACATTACATTTTTACTAAATTTCAAAACTGAAAGAATTCATTCATTTTAGAGGAGAAATTTTTCTCAAAATCCCAAAATATGTTGAGCCACAAATCTTTCCATGTCTCTGGGCATCTGCCACTTGGTGGAACAACAATGGTTAATGGAAAACAGGACAAGGATGCTTGGTGCTATTGCTTCAGCAATTTAAGTCACTTTTTCATGACTAATGAACACTGAGCAGCTGAGGATAGTTAGAAATCATCCCACATTCATTCGAAAAGTCAAGTAACTACTAGAAGAATAGAGAAGCACAGTTTCTACCTGACCAAAGGTCCAAACAGGAGCACCGTGGATACCAGTCACACAAACACTGCAGTCAGCAGAGGCAGAGATGACCAGTAAGTGGCCACCCCGCTCACACATCTCCAGGGAAGTTATCCGGTCCTCATGAGGCTGGAAGACTCTTATCAGAGTTGGAGCCCGTGTGATTTTTCTCTTACTTGAACCAAGACAGTATTCCTGGAAGAAAAGAAACACCAGAACTTTAAAAATCCAAACACTAAATGATCATAACATACATCACTTTTGAAAGCCTGATGTAGAAATTTAAAATGTAGTTTTGAAACAATAACCTACATTCCAAATGCAATAAAAAGGTCATGATAACAAGTTCGAAAACTTGTATTAGGGGCTGGGGATTTAGCTCAGCTGCACAGCGCCTACCTGGCAAGCGCAAGGTCATGAGTTCGATTCCCGGTACCGGAAGAAAAACAAAAAACAAAACAAAAGAAAACTTGTGTTAACATTTAAAAGAAATTCTCACTCATTTGACTGATCTGGGAAGGAGAAAGAAAAGAAGTAGAGAGAAGGACAGAAATAGAAAACTGAACAGCAAAACCACTGTTCAATAAAGATGAGCTGTGCATACATAGGTCATTACAAGCACATAATTTACATCATCTGACTATTGAGCAGGTAATCAGTATCATAGTGCAACAACAGAGGAACCTAACTCAGGATGATAATATTAGAGAAGGCGCAGGACTCTAAACTGTACTTATGTACTTACAGTCTTATTTAAAATAAGGTCCTAATGTCTAATTATTTGCAGACAAACAACACAGCAGTACCTCACTAACAATACTGATTTGCCAAGTTTGGTGACTGACTTGACTGTATAGTAAGATATTTTCAATATTGAGGGAAATCTGGTTTTCCACATTAATTATTTTTAAAAATTTTCTGCTCAATACATGTAAATGCTTTCTTTAAAATACTGAAAATTAGGGGCTGGGGATTTAGCTCAGCGGCAAAAGCGCCTGCCTGGCAAGTGCAAGGTCGTGAGTTTGGTTCCCGGTACCGGAGAAAAACCAAAAAAAAAAAAAAAAACTGAACATTAAATATTTCAAGATCTGATTCATACAATCAGATATAATTTTATCAGATATTTGTTCTATTCAGCACAAGGCACTCAAAAATAGTGAAAAGTATGAGAGAACTTTTTCAGTTTACCTCTATATTCCAGATTTTCAAACATCCATCCCGATCTCCTGTGGTGAGATACTGATTCCACTTGTCAGTAGACATGGTAATGGATCCAACTCCGCTATGAGCCGAAAATTCAGCCAGAAGTTGTTTACTGAATGTGTCCCAGAATCTGACATAACCCGATCCTCCACACGATACCAGGTTAGCTCCTCCTAAAGTGTAAAATAAATCTAATCAGGAAGGTGTAACAACAAATACCAGAAACAACTTCAAGTCATTTCGGACATCTTAAACATGTGATCTTGAAAAGGTGAGTAGCACTGAGATCAATTGTTAGAAACCCCTGGATTCTCTAAAATAAAAAATGGAGAAAAATCTAGAAGAGTCTCACTAGTTTGTGTTAAGTATTAAATGAGATAGGATCCATAAATTGTTCCACTGAATTTAGTTTCCTTTCTTTCTTCCTTTAATGTTTTGTTTTGTTTTAAGTTAGATAGAATCAATTTGTTTCTTCAAATGAAATTATCCAATATTAATTTCAATAGTATGATAAAAACCTGGTCACATAAAATTTATCCCTCCTAATAATCTATTGCATATATACATCAAAGAAGTGAAAGTCCTCATGCACAGATTTAGATGCATGTGTGTGTTTGTAACAGAATAGCTATGAATTTCTCTCTTTAGGAGCATGTTTGGAATTCTGTTTATTAGCTTGGTTTTAAACTTTTCATCAGAATTTTATTGTAAGCCCTTATAGAATCTTTATTATGCTTAATAGGTAGAAAACTAACCTTCTCACTCTCCATTTTTATATGCTTTGTGGAAGCACTTTACCTAAATTATTCTTCTGTGGAGAGCTGCTATTATTTGATAAATCTGTAGGTGATGTCCAAATTGCTTCACAAATGTAGTGGCAATTAACAATCATAGCTGTTTAAGGTAGAAATTTGTAGAAAGGTGGAAAATGGGTAGAAAGATGGCATGTAACTGCTTTAATGAAAACAACTTGAGAACACTGATAATATTAAGAAGAACTGCCTGGCAAGCGCAAGGTCGTGAGTTCGGTTCCCGGTACAGGAGAAAAACCAAAAAAAAAAAAAAAAAGAAGAATTAGTGTTGAGAAAATGAGAGTGATCTCAGGATAACAGTTCCTAGTGTATGAATGAGTTCTAGAAAACGGAAAGATTTATAACCTGTTCCAGTCCATTTTAAATATTCCACGGTTTCTAACATTCAAGGATTTATCTTTATGATGGCAAAAATTTTTATATGAATCACGTGGAGATTTTCCATTTTCAAATTAAATGTGTGAAATAAATGAATGTAGAAAATGTGGTTCGGATATTTTTCTTTTCTCAAATATATAATGCATTTGTCTAGATCTCTAACATTAAGGAAAACTACTTAGAATTCACCTAATTTAGGTTAAAGTTGAAAATATTTCCAGAAGCAGTTTTCTGTTGCAAGAGGGAAGGGAACCAAGCCGTGGGAGAGACGGGTGGGGAAAAGCTAAGAGGGTGGGGGGCCTCTACCAACTCCCATGGGGAAAGCAGCCGTGTACTGCCAACGTGCTCCAATAAAAACAAGCTTCAAAATGCATCTAAAATGCACCTAACTTAGGTGAAAGTTCCAGGAATATGTATCAGTCTCAGAGGCAGGTGTTTATTTTGGATGGATGCAGACTTCATCAACACCGTGCTGATACAGTCATTGCAAACAGAGGGATGACTAGGCAGTTATTTCATGTGCATTACATCCAGTAACTCCAATAAATTATCCAGTTACACCAATGTTAGCATCCATCTGAGCAAAAAATTAAGCCAGGACTCTTATTCCAAAACGTACATACAACTGGCAAATATTCTCAGAGCCCTATGCAAAAAGTAATTGAGACAGAGAACAGGACAGCTCTTTTCCTGAGATCAGCAGTTAATTCAAATTTTGTCGTTGCCTCCGACTGACAAGCTCCTCTTCATTTCTTCCCAGCCCATTTGGACACCAGATGCCTGTGCAGAGTCTCAAACTATTCTGCTGCTACAGGCAGACCTAAGCTTCGACTCATATATTTGGGACCTGTATCTCACTGTGTCTTCTACCCCAGTAAAACATCTCTGTACCACTGCTAGAAGGCTAGTTGTCACTACTGCCCCTATAAAATAGTTTATCAGAGTATTTTTCACTCTTATCTGGACACACGGAGCCCTGGATTCTCAGAGGTCAGAGGTAATCTGTCCCCTGCTCCTGTACCCCTCCTCCTCAATCTTCACCTTCCTTGCAAGGGCCCACGGCCTCCCACTCCCCAGTACTGACTTGCCAGCAACATGGAGCCAAATGCCGCAAAACCTGGACAGAAGCAGATGGAACTTTCTTTATTTCTCCCTTTCCCAACTGCCGGCAGAGTATAAATATATACTTTACCTGTTGCGGCCATGTTTTTCCTTGCTTCAAGGAAACAAAGCCTCAGAACAGCGTTGTTACCCTCGGTGTCGATCTCGGAGGTACGGGCTGCCCCGCAAGCCTGATCTGCCGTGGCGGAGGTGGAGCCTTTTGCTTCAGCACTGAAAAGCTTGTGAGGCTCCGTATCTGTGATGAAGACAGAGCCAGGTGTCTTAAGGGAGAGAAATATTTTCTATTCAAACTAGGAAATGTGGAGAAGTACAGGCCCACCTCCGTCTTTGCCTCCACTGACCCCACCAAGGCTCAAGGTAGATGTGCAGCCCACAGCCAGCCAGCCCCGTCTTTCACTTCCTCAGGCACAACTGGAGGGTTATTTCACTTAATTTTGTTTTCTACGTTCTAGGCCATGTTCTCCCTTGACATGAATTCATAGGGACTTCATGTTATAGTTATTGCTGATAACCCAGAAATCCTGATGTGCTCAAGACAAATGTGTTTTTAATAACATGTCATTTCCAGTTTATTCTTCATTAACACCAACTTTGAAAGTATTTAATATACATGAAATGTAGTAGCTATAAATGTTGAATTAATTTCTTAGCACCGTTATCTGCCATTCCCATGGGTACTTCGGTTAGCTGATGAAAACCTCTCAAAGCCTCGCTAAGGAAAACTGAGAACATTCGTCTCAGAATCTACGAATAGTCTGCACACAGCTTTGAAAAAACTCTGCAGAAGTATCTTCAAAATCTCAAAGCAAAATATCTACAGCAGCTGGGCGTGGTGGCACACGCCTGTAATCCCAGCACTCGGGAGGCTGAGGCAGAGGAATCGTTGTGAGTTTGATGCCAGCCTGGGCTACAAAGTGAGCTCAAGGCCAGCCTGAACTGCATAGCGAGACCCTGTCTCAAAAAGACAAAAAATAAAATATCCATAGCAATGCCCTTCGAGTCACTTAGAAAGTTGGTGTATTTATTTTTCTCCCTTATTTCTCCGTGTACTTAATCGGGAGCACCGTGCAGTTGCTGTCTGAGGAGGGTGGTGCACTCTTAAAGGCCAAAGTAGAAGAAGCAAAAGTCCCTTCTCCACAGCAGGTCCAGATGAAGCCTAATGGTTAATGCTCTGCCACGAAGCAGGTCAGAGCTCTGGGTCTATGGCCAAGGACTCCCTCAGCCTCTTAAACTGCTTTCCTCACTCCCAGTAAATCACTTTGGCTTTACACACACACACACACACACACACACACACACACACACACACGTATCTGATGACCAGTACTTCCCTAAGGCGGGACTCATTTTCTCTGAGTTCGTCCAATTGAGACGGTAGAAGCTGGCTCAGTCCTGAGGACTGGCATATTCATTACCCAAAGACATTAGTCTAAGGAAAAACCTTTAGTGTGTAAGAAAACTACAATAAAATGTGAAAGGCAATTGTCAAGACACGTTGTTTAAGTATAAAATATTCATGTGCATGGCTAAACTCCCATAAAATACAATACACTCCTGTCTAATGCTCCTCACCGGTTTCTGAAGTAAGGAACAATTTGATCTCCAGGCGGCGTGATACCTAGTGCCAACTGCAGGCTGAGTGTGCACAGCCCCCACGCGTCCCAAGGGCACCCAAGGTTCACTCAAGGGCATTTTGGCCAGGGTTATTGGCACAAGCTAAATTAGATAAAAATGAGAACCCTGCCCCCTGCCGTGGGTAATGCAGAATGCTGATGTAGCACAAAGGTACGGCCGGCAGGGGAGGATTCACTAAGCCAAGTAAATCTCCAGGTTCTTTCAGCCACTTTGACAAGAGCATCACCGATCCTTTGTACTGATAGCCGGTCATCGGTCATCTAGGAGCGAGCTGCGTGCGACACATGAACGCACAACCTCGCCAGCTGCGGCCCGACGCAGCCGCGTTGCTTTCGGTTCCGACTTGCACGCACCTGACTTCGATTTTAACGGCCTCTGGTAATGCGGGTGGAGGACACAGACAGCGTTTTCTGCGCTGTTGTTCCACAGGACGATCTCTCCATCGTAACTTCCTAGTGGGACAGGGCAAAGGACGTAAGTCGTCAGAATACTGGAGAGGAATACAGGAAGAAATTAAAAGAAGTCGGTGTCCAGGTATGTCACACAGCACCTAGCACACGGCCACATTCTCCCCATATTCGAAGGAACTCAGGAAACGCTCGCACTTTTATTCACACTAGACTCAGCCCTCCCAGAATACGCGTGCGGTGGGCGTGTGGACGTGAGCGGCGCCTCCTGTCTGCGTTGGGACAGAGGCTCTGCGGCCGGCGGCTAGAGTTCGAGTCCAGTCTGCCCCGCGCGGGGAGTGAGCTGGTGCACGGGAAGGCTGCGATCTCCCCACCTGCAGAGCTGCGGTGATAACTGTAGCTCCTAAGGGCTTTGTGCAGAATGCAAAGTATCGACAATGTGCTGAGCATGGTGTCAATACTTAAAAAGTAATTGCTGTCATACACCTTCATTACCGAGTAATGAAGAAGCTCCAGTCCCCCCACATTTCTCTTTCCCCACACTGTGTGTGTTGGGGGGTCCTTTCAGTCCCATACACTTTGTGAAATGTTGCTTTCTCCCATCTGGACCCTGCAGGCGGAGAGGGCGTCACGGCTGCGTCTTGCGGAGAACAGTGAGGCTCGGCCTGGCGCAGCCCGTCCCGGGGGCCGTGCGCTGCGGCCGGGGTGGACAGCCCGCCCCGCGCCAGGCGCCCCGGCAGGGCAGAGCCGCGCGGGGGGCGCACGCGGTGACTCCCTCGGGATTGCGGGCAGGAGAGAGGACTGTGCTCTGCATCTGTGTTTCCTGGAGAAAGAAACCCGGGTGACCCAAGAATCGGTCGAGGAGAACGGCCTTCGGCCGCCTGTGTCCTGACCATCTTGCCCCTGATTCTGCAGCGGCTTTTGCGAAGTGCTTCACCAAACCTGCTCCTATGGCGGTGGTAACACGAGAAGGACCGAAGAGGGTACTTAGGCACCAGCGCAGTGGCGTTTCTTCTGTGTTTTAAGCCTGCGGAGCTTGTGTGCTGTTAGCACATGTTTGCAGCGCGGGATGTTCTACCTCCACCGGAGGCCGCAGGTACTGGTGATTAGCGCACCTGGGGCTCCCGATTCCCCTGCCCTTCGCACCCGCCTCGCCTCCCCCGCCCCCTCTTTCGCTAACGTCTTTGTAGTTCGTGTCTGTGGCCCGTCACCGCTGGGCGGGGGGCCGGCACCTGTTCTCCACGCATTGTAAGTCTTTTACAGCCCTTTCCTTCGCACCTCCCGCGTCTCTCCTCTCCTGTGCCCTTTCTATTTCCCAGCCCTGCTTCTGTTTCCTTCTGTCATTCTTTATTATGCTTTTAATTTGCACTTTGGATTACTCGCATGAGAAAAACTGTATGGCATGTCAGTGTGTGTCTCATTTATATTCAACTTAACATTTCATTTTCAAGGTGTGTCCATCTGCCTACAAATCTCTCAAATTTATCCTTCTTTATAGCTGAGTAGTATTCCATTAAGTATAGATTGACAATGGCATTTTATGATACATTCACAATAATAACCACTACCCAGCTTTATGGCTAACTATTTCTGTCATATTTTAGCATGTGCTCCTCCCCAGCTGTGTGATGCTTTGATGACTGTAAAGCCAATTCAACTAGAGAGCCAGCCTTACCAGAAGGTGATTAGGACAGCCCTGAAAATGAATGAAACTTGAATGTAAATAAATCAGTAGGTCTCATCCATAACACTTCACAGACACCCTGGCTCTTTCCTTCTAAGTCTTCACTCCTCCTAAGTGAGGGCATTTGGGGATCTATGAAAGACATTAGGATCAAATACAGACCTCAGAGTTTCACGGTGACACTTGTTTTTAAGTAGCTTTCTAAATAGCTTTTATAAATAGCTTTCTCTGCCTAGAAATGATACAACAAAGTTAATATCCGTTAACATGTTCCCTCTAAGAACACTCAGGGGATCATCTAAGAGCTTGGATTTACAGATACGTCATGATGATTCTGACTGACGTTATCAGAGCTAAATTATTCCAAAGGGTTAATACATTCTCATTATGAAACTTCGGGTGCCACCGAAGTATAATCGTACCTAACGGTCCTACTGCTGCTCCTGAAAACTGGACAATAAAAATCAATGGTACTCTTTAAAATAAAAAATTTAAAACAAAAACAATCAAGGTAATATTTACTTACTGATGTGTTTATTGTTTACCAAGCACAATGTTGAGCCCTTATACAGGTACTCTGTACCTTATTTTTATATCTTTCAATGTCATTCTTTTCTTATCACTATTTGGGTGTTTTTAAGACAGGGTCTTGCTTTGAACTCACTGTGTAGTCCAGGCTGGCCTGGAACTCGCAGTGATCCTCCTGCCTCAGCTTCTTAAGTTCTGGGATTACAGAAGTGTGCCACCACACTGGCTCTGAATGTCATTTTAAATGCCACGTAGTAGAGAGGTGATCTGTACTTTAAATCAAAACATAGATATCACACTACAGCAAGAGGAAGGACAAAGATGTGAATCCAGAGAACCCTCATAGGAGCTGATGGTCATAGCCATTAATGCATTGCTCTTGAAATGGGAACCAGCGGGAGCTTCCTCTGTGGGAAATCAATTCGTTTTGCAGTTGAGAAAAGTCTTCTTTAAATTATGAGCCAGACACACCAAACTGCCTCTAGCCCAGTGCCAAGGGAATGTTCCTTCACCTGTGGCGAGAGTTTGTGGAGGTGAAAATGCAGCACACAAGACGTCGTCGTGGTGCTGGGCTCCTCCTCTCCATTCCTCAGGCTCGATGAGAAACTGACTGGAGTGCTGGGGTCGAAACACAGTAACAGCCCTGGTGAAAAGAACACAGAAGTTAGCTCTGCACCTAAAACTGATATAGATGTGGAGGACCCACTCTCCACTAGAGCAGAGTGATTCAAGGGTGCAGAGGACTTCTCCACGTGAGCACCACGAAACCACTAAGACTTTATGGCAATACTAATAAAAACTGAGGCAGAGCTGTAAACAAATACCACTTGGTGGTTTAAACAAAGTCAGTGAGAGATCTCATTAAAGCTTCTCATGTTAAAATCCCCGTGGCCACAGGCTTAAATGGCCACAGACTCTATTTTCTTGGGGTTCCCTAAGTCTTGAAAAGCTAGTTGAGGAACACACTTGGGAAAAATGAGCCATAAGGCAGATACATCGTGAACCGAAAGAATAGTTTAGGAGAATCAAGCATCCTGAGACGTTGCTAACCAATTGGAGTTCAGACAAGAATAGACAGGGAATAAACACCTGGCACCTGGTGGAGACGGAAGAGGTGGGCATTAAACTGTGGGAGCGTCGACACCACCCTGTTTCCGCTCTGGTCTGAGCCGGGGTTACCAGCCTATGCCGCCCTCTCCTCCCTTTCAGAGCCGCAGTCTCACATGAGCATCTGTAACCACAAGCGTGGTGTCTCCGTCTCGCCTCCTCCTCACCCTCCTGTCCACTCAGGAGGCTTCCAGGTGTCCTGTCCACGCCATTCACGGGTCTCGGAGGGAGGGACTTTCCTCCCCTCCTTCAAGCATCTGTGCTACCAGTGCTTCTTGCTCCTCCTCCTGCTCCCTTATCTTGTATTCCCCCATCGCTTGCCGTCCCTGCTTTCTCTCACCCTTTCAATATCAGTGTTCCTTATTGTCTCGCTCCACTCCTTTCTCTCTGTTCAAGCAGGCTTAACCAGACACCCAGGGCGCTACCATGAGTTCCAGTCTCTGTTCCATATGAACGGCTCTGAGCTGATCTTCATTCCTAAGCTTTGCCAGCGTGGAATAGTTTCCACTTTCCGGGTGACAGCTCCGTGCAATGTGTAAGCAACAACTCTTAATACATTAAAAAAGCAGACATTGCCATCTTCGGTCCACACCACACCTCTACCCTGAATCCTCAGGTGTGATGCACAGATCTGCATCACAGCCGCCTGGGTGTCTGTCTTCCTGGGCAAATCAAATGCTCAGATTTTACCTCTGCCAAAACACACTTATAATTTTAAGCAGCCAGCGATAGGTTCCTACTTCAGTGTTCAGTGCCCCACGGCTGAGCAGTTCTGAAAAACTTCAGACCAGTGTCACTGCCTCTAATGTGCTCTCCTCCGGCGCATTCTTCATTCTATTCCTGGGTTAATCTTCCCAGCTGGGGTTCCTCATACCCATTCATTCTACATGAATTTCCTGCTTCCGTGTGAAGTCTCTGTTCACAGATTCCATAGACATAGAGCTACAAACGTAAGGGAACAAAGTGAAATATGAAAAGTGGCAAATGGTAAGAACTGCTGATCAACTGACATGAGAGTCCGGAGCAGATAGATCTACAAAGGTAAGAGAACAAAGTGAAATCTGAAAAGTGGCAAATGGTAAGAACTGTTGATCAACCGACATGAGAGTCCGGAGCAGAAATCACGGATGGCATAATTGAGGGGCTGGTAGTTCAAATGGGCCATAATAGATAGGACGGATCTGGAGCAGGAAACGCTCTGGGTAGAGTAAGTAGCATGATAAGAGGTGAGATCAACACCCTGTTTCCGAGCATTTTCTAGCTTCCATTTTCTATAGGATAAAGCTCACATGTGGGAGTCTGTTTCCCAAGATCCGACAGTATACAGATCCAGTCTACTTTAAAATTGTTTCTCGCTGTCCTTCTACCCTGGCTGTTCAAATTTATGTGAATGTTCAGTTAAATATTTGCCAGGGCAGTGGAAGTCACTGGGGTAGATATGATACACTTTCTTAAATGTCAATCCTGCACAGAGTTTGGGGAAATACTTTTCTACCAAAATAAAGATAGAACACAATAAAATGCAGTTTTCCTAAATGTTAAAGGTAGAACGTGTTTTCAAGTCTATTTCTTTGGTGAAGGAACTGTTTTGAACTCTCAGGGATATTCAGGGGCTGAGTTCCCGAAACATGCCTTCCTGTCCAACCCAAAGTATAATCTTTTTGTCCTCTAAGCACCTGTGCATTTCTAACTGCTTTGTTTTTAGTCGAGATATCTCTTCTATCCCTCTGTGGATTTCCTTTCACTTATCCCCACACCATCCTCTCCTCTGCTTGGTAAGTGTGGCTGAATACATTACGGATGAAGAATGAGGCAGGACTGGGAGGAAGAGGCCCTGCCTACATCTATTATCCCTTAGCCAAAACTCATCTGAGTGTCTGTTCGCCAAGATTCCGTATTAGGTAGGTATGCTAAATATATTCAAGGGACACTACCCGAAGGCACAGAGGGATTTTCTTAAACTGGTGTGAAAAGCAGCCCTTCTGCTATTTGACCTTGTGTGTCAAGAACTGAAGAGCTAATTACCTGTCACCCTTCCTTTAAAGCCCTGATGTGAAATGACACTTGTCCTTAAAATGCCTGAAGAATCTACACTATAGTTTTCATTTTTCAATTTCAAAGACAGCTTATTTTAAGTTTGTACTTTTGCCAAGAGTAAAATTAAAGTTCACAGTGAGCAGATTTCCGGCCTTTCTAGGGGTTCGAGAGGCTTGTTGCTCCGTGCCCCGCTCATGTCTGGAGGCCTGAGAGGCCTGCGGCTGAGTCACTGCATCTTGTGATGAGGGTGACGTCTGGAATTCAGAATTCACATGATGACCAATTCTATGCGAACGAGGTTAGTTTATCTATCAAGTGCAAAAGAGCACACCAAAAATGGGGGGGGGGACTTTCTTTTTTCTAGGAAGAATGAGTGAGGAAACAACCTCCTTTTTCTTTTTGGTGGTACTGGAAATCGAAGCCAGCACCACTCAGTCTGCCAAGCACACACTTTGCCACTGAACTACACCCACAGCCCTGGAAACAACGTTTCGACTAAAATTTAATCATCCTGAAATTGTCATAAAGATAACACAGGAAACGTTCATTCCCTCGGGTTAACTGTTCACATGTTGCTGATCATTTATTATAAGACTTATTAATATCTGTCCTTTGATTTTCTGATGTTTAGGCTTACCAAGAGTATTGCAAAGGTAGAGAACGAATACCACATAAATCAATTCGTTTTGATTTCTTTTCTTTGTTTCTTCTCCCTAAAATTGGTAGACTCTAATTTTGGACACTGGAATAAACACCAAAGTTTGTCTGTGAATTTCAGGCATGACCTGTCCTCCCCTTCGCTCCAGCATGGTCAATTTAAAGTAAGTTGCTGTTGTCCACAGAACTTTCCATCCTGATTCTTACCCTCAGAAATGAATTAAGTCACGTGAGATTGCAAGTTTCTTAGTGAGGCAACTGTTAATAATGTAATAGCTTGTAATATATACATTTTATTCTTGAGTAACTTCAAATTAGTAATGTTACTTCATTTAAAAATACTTTTGAATCTCAGATAAAGTTGGTGATGAAATGTTTTAACTCTTATACCTTACATGAAAACTGTGCACGCATTCTGGTTATTTTTAAGATTAATGCTTGGCAGAAAACATAAAAAAATAGAATTATATCACCTGTTATTCATTAAACACCTGCTTTTCTACGGAGTTCCATGAAGGAACACACTTATAATAGTATTTTCAGAAATATTGCAAATTTGTGAAAGATTTACATATAATCTTTTATAATATATTTAGATGTCTAAATTTTTAAGGAGATAAAATCTTCATAAGCAAAAGATTCTCACAAAAGCATCTAACATGTATATAAAGTGATGGATATGTTAATTAGCTTGCTTTAGTCATTTCACAATTTCACAAATATCAAAACATTAACTTGCATACCACAAATATATATAATTTTCTTTGTCAATTGTACATTGATAAAGTAGGAAGAAAACAGAAATTTTTCTCCTACACAAAGGAGAGAACATGAAAGAAACTAAGTCTATTTTGTTAATGCATTGTAAGTAGAGAATCACAGAATTTTAGGGCTGGTTAAAAGCTTTAAAGAAACATTATGTTGCATATTACATGCCTACTTTGAACAAATGAAAATATAATCAATGATCTATTCATTTAATTTTACCGATATAATTGGGCCAAAGATCCAAGAAGGGATTTCTGAACTGACCCTATATGAATTCCCAACTGTAAGTATAAGTATATTTTGCTTAAAAATTTAAGAAACATATTTCTAGTAGTTTTGAAGTTTGAGCTTTTCTCCTGAAAGACAAATTCTCCAGGTATGAACGATCACATCTGTAAATAAATCGCCTGGCGTCTCTGCTTAACTTTGCTTAGGAGCACTTCACGGTGGTATTCACTATGTCCTGCCTTGTAGGTGTTCTTCAAATAAGCTGTGATATCTCTGACGACAGAAAGCACGATTTTTCACATTAATCCGCTCTGTTTCCTCACTCGGTGCTTCCTACCTAGGTGCAGTTTTTGAAATATTTATGGGAAGGGAAGGGAGAGAGATACTCTGAGTGAATCTCTGAGATGCTGTTAAGCTGACAACAAACACTTCTGTGTTTCTTCATCTGTATAGAGCCGATTTATTAGGCTCGCTTCAAACCACCAACCTACTCCAGCATTTGTTTAGAAAAGTGTGTATAGTTGCCTTTCCATGATTTTGTGTCCCTGTGTTGCTCAGCTTTTCGTTACTGTGACAAAGCATCTGACCTAAGTAACTTAAAGGAGGAAAAGTTTGTTTTGGCTCAGGGAATCGGAGGTTTCCATCCATGGTCAGTGGGCTTCCCGGCAGAAACGCGGGAACCGGGGGACGCGGAGGAGGAAGCTGCTCCGCACGGCAGCCGAGAGCAGATAAAGAGCAAGTGTGAGAAGAGGGAGGCGCTGGCGACAGAAGCATCGTCTCCCGAGTCCGCCCCAGTGAGCTACTCCCGGCAGCCAGGCCCTCCTCCAATCGGCACACTCCTGCTCAGACTTTATTAGAGGACTGCGGCCGCTCTCTACCACCTTCCGAAAGGCCCCCTCAGGGCAGCTTGGGGGACACCTTCCGTCCGAACAGTAACGGACTCCATTCGCAACCGACCCACTCAAGACCCAGATTTCTGACCATAGCATCGACTCTAACTCCAAGTCCGCTGTCTCCTGAGTGCCTGTAACCTTGGCTGGCCCACTCAACCTCTTGAGGCTGAATTTTCTCTTCTGTAAAAAAAGTATAATATTTTCCCACCTGGTTCATTATGAGAAATACAATAGATTTTATTATCTACATTGCTTGTCTCTTGCAAGGAATGAGGATGTAGGAAATTATTATCTCTAATCCTTAGTGTTCCAACCTATCTAAACAACATTCATTAAATTATTCAAGGAGATCCCTGCACACCCAATAAGCAGCTGATGTGTGCAAGCACACAAGCACACCTACGCTGAATCGCACCATCACCTGGAGAGCACATAGCACACGGAGGACATGTTTTCATCCTGGAACTTAGCATGACTGTCTTAGTGAAGCAGATATTGAACAAGCCTGAAATAGGAATAAACACCAGCTATGCAAAAAAGAATGAGAAAAGGATTTCCAGGCATGGAGAAAAGAATAAAGGGATAGAGATATGAAACAGCATACCTTGTATGGGGACATATTGCCAGCAGGTTATTTGATAAGGCTTAAAATAGACACAAGAATGTATAAAAATGAAACTAGAGAACAAAACGTAAGTCCAAGGGAGAGGGCTCTTAAGTACGTTTTGTAGACACTGAAAGGTTTTAAAGAAGAAAGTAATATGCATTCATTGTACAAAGGAATCAGTGTACTGAAACTTACAGAATGTATTAAGTGGTGGGAGGTGGGCTTACCAGAAGAAAAGACAAATTAGAAGGTTGTGACATTTATCTCAGTAGAAGTAAGACTCTGAATAATATAGTTCAAGTATTCATGGGAGTGCGTTTAGGAAACATTTAGGATATAAAAACAGTAAGACTTAGCGATTACTAGGTTGTGAGGTTGAGTAAGAAATGGAAACCAAGATGGACAACTAGCTCTCTGGCCATTAACTAAAGCTCCAAACCTAAAATAAAAAGTATGCTTTGGAGCAGGGGACAAAAAATAAATTAATTTGGCATTACAGTCAGTCAGACTTAGCAAGCAAATGGGTAAGAGCTTGCACAGATTAGAGCTGAAGACAAAAATTTGAGGTACATATAAAATATCACTTACCTTGCAAGACGAAGTGAAGGATTGAATTAGATAATGTGTATAGAGTGTCTAATGTTTCACAGCAATATAAATAAAATAAACGATGTGTTCAGGTACTTCACTCTAAATGTAATTACTCCTCCACCCTGGGCAAAATTATGAAACTGATCTCTGCATTTAGATAGAGCCCAAAGTTAAAGCTACAACTTACCCTACCAATCACTCTCTGGTATTTACAGAAACTTTAATAAGCTAACTGTCAATCTTCTGGTTATTTCTTTTCTAGTCACTGAGCTATTAAGGAGCTGGCTTAGTAGATCATATTTCTGTAAATCTACCAAACAGTTGTGCACCATCATGCCTCTTCTGTGAAAAGTGTCTGAGTAAAAAGGATCCTCTGCTTTATCCAGCAAAATCCATCCCTACATATCACCTTTGACTCAGAAAATATAACCTTAAACCCCCCAAAGTAAGAGGGAAATAATACAACTGAGAGTGTATTATTAAATTGTTCATTCCAGCTGAAGAGTCCAACTCTTGACAAACTTCAGAAAGATGAAAAAAGGAAGACGATAGGAGAAGTAATCATTTTTCTCACTCTCATTCTAATGTTCCCAAATCTTCCGCCCCAAGATTTTGGCAAGTGACCACCCACCAGCATAGATCAGAGTATCAACTATCTCTTTAAATGATTTTTTTGTAACAGTACATCTAATCTTTCACATTTTCCTTTATAATCAATCACAAAAGTTTATACTTGCAGCTAATTTCTAACAACATTTAAAAAAAATAAAAGTGGTATCTCCAAGTTTTGACATATACAGGTTAATTTTTTAATGCTCTTTTTGTTTTGTTCAAAATTTAAATTAGATCGGTGGGAGAGCACACATCCATTCTGCCATGATATTAGAGAATTAAGCTTATTCATTGCCGTGACCTAGAGATTTCTAGGTCGTAGACAGTTAGAGCAGCTGTGAGCTGATAACGGATCGTGCTTACTCCCAGGAATGTGAAGAGGTCTTACCCTTTAAAGGAGAGGGTGATTGAATTAATTCATAATTGAAATACAACAGTCTGTAATATAGATTTTTATTATCAAACTACTCTTGAAAATAGAGCAGTTTGCAACACTGTTTGCTACTCTGCTTGTTCATCTACATTAGAAGAAAAATCTTTCCTAGCTTGATTGAAATCCCAAATATACACTGCTCATTTTCTAAATATAAAATCTTAACCTGAGTTTCAGATTATTAAGATCGTAGTTCTCTAATGAATAATGTTGGACAAATTATCTGTTAGAAAAATACTTTATGAATTATTGAATCTATGACAAGTATATTTTCAAAATAGATCACACTTCAGTTGTCCTAGTGCTTATACAATACCATACGAAAGGCTCTGTTTATAATTCTTTAGTTTTCTTAGAAAAAAAGTAATTTTCCTCACAATGAAGCAGAAAAAGACTCCTCCTAGAGAGGAGTAAGTGGCTGTGAAAGGTGCTTTTTCTGCAGCGATATGTAAGTAAGGCTGACACTAGGAGTGAGTGGGTCGTTTACGTCCCTGACGCCCATTGAAGACAGGTTCATGAGAAAAGTGAGTCCCACACAGCCGAAGGAATGTAACGTGCTAAGCATCTGCTGACCTTAAAAGTGGGGAAGCTTTTGCATCTCAGTGTGATGAATTGACAACTGGTGGGCAACATGGAACACACAGATGAACCGAACCAGTGCCGTGCTGGGTATGGAAGGCCCACCTGAGGATTGTTGCCAACAGCATAAAAAGGAAAACAGGAGGGGAAGAAAGGGTGCTATCAGTTCTCCTGGAGGTGCTACTGCTTCTCCTGGAGGTGTTGGTGCTCCTGGAGGAGCGTGTCATGCTGGCCATGGTGGTATAAATGTGACTATTATCATTGGAGGAGCTCGGGACCTTGTTGCTGAGATTGGCTACAGTTCACTTTGGGGGAGCTCTGGTCCTCACTTTGAGCATCATTTCCTGGCTCCAGTACAGATCCCTCAGCCTGCTAGCTTAAATCCTTTGTCCCACTGGTGCAGACTTTCTAGCTTCCACCACTGACCTTGGGGCCTTCTCAGCATAGATTCTCAAAACAGGACTGCACGAGACATTGTCATGGGCTCTAGGCCTGCAGCTGGACTCGTGTGGGACACTGTTATGGGCTCTAGGTCTTTAGCCGGACTCATGCAGGACATTGACATGGGGTCCAGGCCCTCAGCCGAATTCTTTGGGTCTTTACTGTGTGGACAGATTTCCTGCACTCCTTTGTATTTGAGTCTTTGGATGACTATTATAAAACCCTATAAATTATGTGTCCGGCTATTAAACTGTTTCCCTTGTAAATCTTGACTACACACTCAGCAAATGATATTATATCCTTATCTGGAATTTTTCAGATAAAGTCAAATTCCCAAAGCTTCAGAAAGCCTTGTAGCACTTCACAGAGCCACTTAAACCGTATGATCCTCTATTTTATTCATTAAATTTTCAATTCCAACTACAGTTGTTCCCTATCCTAGGTCACCAGCAAATTACTGACTTGGAATCACACAGACTTCTGTGTTCCTCTTCTTTTAGATTTTGATTCAAATAAAACCTACATGAAGCATAGCATACCTCTCCCAGCCTGTAACCAGTATTGTCTTCTGGATAACGAGGATCTGTGAAATATCCACAGCACCGTCTTGTCCAACATTGAGTGTGTGGTGACAATATCCATTAAAGTCCCAAATCTTTAAGAAAAAAAATTAAAATCACCTTTGAGATAGGAAATGAAAATATCTCCTTCAATGCCTAATCAACATTGTGAATAGGATCATTTTAAACACTTGTATTTATATTCTAAACTAGGGTTGATTCTCTTAGGTTCTGTATAACTAAAGAGAATTCTTTCACTATTTTGACAGTTACCCTTATATGTATTATTCTTGTGACCCTGTGAAAACTACATGTTATATACTTGGTCTTCTACCTGCTCCCTGGAAAATGCTCGTAAGTGCTCTCGAAGTCCCTGGAGTGAGGAGGGCCTTTGGTGTGCTAAGGAGGCACCAGTGACTGAGAACCCCTACATGGCTTCAAGATGGCAGCTGCTCCCCGGAAAGACGGAGGCAGTACAGAGTTGGGACTTTCAGCCCCATTCCCCTGTGTATCTCTTATTTTTTCAAAATTTTTATTGTCTGTATATATTATTCAAAACATTAATTAATTTAAAAACACAGCCTTCAAGATCACGATAAATGGGGCAATAATTTTGAGTCTCTGAGTGCATAGGTACTAATTTGGGACCCTAAATTAGAGGCAAGGTTGGAAAGTATCCTTCGTTCCTGATTCTTCAGAGGACATGCACGGAACAGGCCAGCCCTGATTTACGTGTTTCACTAAGGCTGCCAGATCTCAGAGCTCAGCTGGGCTACGGATGCACTGTCAAAGCAGTGATTATGCTACTGAATTCACAGGAACCTCAAAGTTGTCCAGGCTGCTGCTCAGAATTGCAGGGTGCGTATATTCTTCACCCATGATGCTTCATTTTCATCTGCATGATTTTTACCGGGTTCACCTAAAATAATTCTCAAAACAGGTTTTGCAAAGATCTGACCACCCAAGGTCCTAGTAAGTCCCTTAACTGAGGGCATTTTATCAACATCTACAAGATCTGACCGTACCCTGACTCTATGACCAGTTTCTTCTAAGAGGGGGGAAATGGGGCCTAATCCATTTGCGTCACTGTTGAGTTCAGCCTAATACCCTAGGACTGACAAATGAGACGCTGGCGTGCTCCTTTTGCCCAAACGGCTGTCGACCTCTGCAGGCCCAGCTATGCCGCTTTTCCTTTCCCTCGATGTCGGTATAAGGGTTGTTTGGGCACCTTCGCGTATCTCCCCAGGGCTCCTGTGAGCCACTTGTCTTTACCTGAACACGGTTCCCCACCTGTATCCGACTCCTTTTCCCTTCCCGGCGCCAAGTTTCGCTAACCTCCGGAGGTCCTCACTGGGAACCCACATAGCATCCCGCACCCCGATATTCACAACTTAGAATGCCCAGGAATACCTGCCCCTAACTCTGCAGCATTCTCATTACAGCTCCAGGTGACATTTTGGTCACCCCCTCCCCTCTGCAGCCTAGCCGAATGGGTAACGCACCCGCTGGGGCGGGCCTTTCACAGACGGCGGCGGAAGGCAGCCCGGCAGCTCTCTGACCCCGGTTACGACAGATTCGAGAGCTGTGCGGAGTTTATTCAGGAGACTGCCTGAGGGGTCACCAGCCATCCCCGATCTGACTATCCTCACTCTCCCACCCAGCGCCGCGGGCAGAGTCACGGGTGGACGAGATTACACACAGCACATTTCTAGCTTTGCATGAAAATTTCGTTTTGCGAAGTGAAATCTCACCTTCCTCCCAGAAAAAATGAGTAATAGTTACAAAATAAGAAAATTGCAAGTAACAAGATAGCGTGCTTAAACTATTACCGGATGGATACTAAGTACGATTGTGATTGCTCTTTCTGCTTTATTCTTTACTTCACTTTCATAGTGAGAATGGGAATTATTAAACGGGTTTACTTTTAGATACTCATTTTATGAAAAAAGTTACAGCTGTGTATTTTTTTAAAGTTTCCTAATTTAACCTAATTTCTCATCAGACACTTAGAAGAGACCTAGAGACCCTAGCCGAAGCACATGAAAATTTTTCAGGGCTTGTATTCCCCGAAGTAATCCCCATTCGGTACACTGAAAAAGATTTCCTGAAGTAAGTAAGCTAAGTTATGATAAATAATTTACTTAGAAAAATCATTTATGCATTTTTCCACAGCAGGCTGTTTTCCTAGGAGCTGTGTTCTCAGAGAGTTTAAGTTACTTATCTCTCAGCTCGTCTCATCCCTCTACTTGAAAGACCAAAAAGGCAAAAACAAGCGCATCTGTAGCAATGCCTCCTCACGCAGCATTTTAGCCTCCCCGTCTCCGAAGAGAAAAGCGTCGCCGCGCTCACACCTTTACAGTTCCATCTGCGCCGCCAGTCAAAAGCCGGGTCTCATTTGCGTCAAGGGCCATCGCGCTGATTTCTGCGTCGCCATGGCAACCGGTAAACTGTTTGATTTTCTGCCCAGTGTCTATCATCCAGAAGGAAACTGTAGACCCTGCATCTGAGCTAATTATCTAAGAGCAAACAAAATTGCAGAGAAATTCACTGTAGTCCGAAGAGCAAATGTTTTTATTTAAATAAAAATATATAGCCTGTGCATTTCCACCACCGAGATCCCGCAACAGAGAGAAATTTTTGTAATCTGTTTCCTTTCTTTTTGTGAAACTAATAACATCTCAATTTCCAGGCCAGGGCTGAGGTAATGAAGTCACAATCTCCTTTATCAGGGAAGACAGAAATCTGCTTTCCTAACCCGCCGTTCGGCTTTGTCTCCAGAGGCCGCCCTGAGACCCAGTCTTGCTAAGAATAAGCATAAACCTTTCGCATTTAGGTAAGAAATCGAACTTTACTGGGAAAGGTGGTCTGACGCTACCTAATGCGTGAAAGCGTTTTATTATGTTAGCTTCCGTTTAGCATTCAGAAAAGAAGCACCGCCCATCAGGGGAAAAAATTAATCTTTACAGATTACTAGAGCTGTTGCTTTTTATGCCGTTGCCTCTTGCTTTGGCTGTTTTCAAGGTGCTATGTACATTTTTACATCTGAACACAGCTATTTATATCTTACTATGAAACAAAGAACACAGGTTAAATATAAGCCCGCATGTATACTTCAGAGAAAAGCAGCGAAACACATGCTAACGGGATTGGGCTGTGTGTCTGCAGCGGTCTGAAGCTGAGAAACGCCGTAGTGGCAAACAGACCACCGTGTTCACCTGCAGGTGCTTGAGCACCATTTAAGGAACTTATGGGTTAAAACCGCCCAGCGATATGACTGAAGAAAAGTCAGTAATGAAAAAATTATAAACACACATGCGCGTGAATGGCAAATTGTCTGAATCAACACCTAAATTTTGAGAAAAGACAGTATTTGGTTTTCTAGTTGGCTATTGATCCCTAGCGTATAAACATAATCTATGATGCATGTGTTAAATGGGAATTCCTCATTTTCATAATCAAGCAGGCTGGAGTTCGTCAAATGCGTTCTGGGCAGCACAGGAGGGAGGCCGTGGTGCGTGAACACCCGGCCGGTGCCCGTCTCCACGACGGGAGGGACCGCGACAACGAATCGCTGTTCCAGAGGCGATGGTCTGGGCGGTGGGGAACCCGGGGCGTGCGTGCTGCAGCGGGCTGCTCCTCAGCACTGCCAGCTCTGGAAGGCTCGCCATCACCGAGCTAGCCCTACGAACACAGCCTCCTCAAAAAGTTCAAGCACCCTGTACCAGAACGGAGATTCAGCTTCACCTGGCCCACGCAAGAAATGTTTCAAGAGCTCCACAAGTTATTTAAAGGTGCAGGCTGTGCTGAGAACTAGACGGGGAAACAGAAGCTCATGCAGCTACGCAGAGGTATGGCTCCTGGGTGAGCGGAGCGCACAGGGAAACCCAAAACCCGCTCAGTGCGGTGGGTGATGGGCTTGGGAGTGGAGCGGGAGGGGCAAGTCAACACTGAGACACGAGCTGATCGTCGATCTGGAGTTGAAGACAGAAACACTCATTACATGCCAGCCTTCTGCACTGGTTATTTCATTTGATCTTTATTTTTCAAAAGTCTGTTTTTAAAAATTGGCTAAGTAGCATTTCCAGGCTTCTGTAACTAGGTTTAACAGCTGGGGGGACAGCCGTGCTGGAGCTACCTGCTTCCAGCGTAGACCCTCAGGTAACTGACAAACTGCTTAAAAGACGAGAGGGCTTGGGAAATATTCCACATGTGAAAAACAATAAGGCGCTCGAGAAAATCTGAGTTGCAAAGAATCTGAAGGGACAAATCTGATGGGATAGCAGATGAAGAAGCAAGTTGGAGATGAAATTTTAGAAGTCCCTAGCATGTAGTTCCAGAGAATATTGAGTAATATATAAAATATTTCACTGGGCGTGGGTTGATAACTTAGATTATCAGCAGGATCTGTAATTACTTAAAAGATTGAAAACATAGTTTTTCTTAATGAGGAGAAGCGTGTATAGACATTCTGATAACTGGCTTGTGAAGACACTGCTAGCGGTGGAATGGAGCACAGGCTCACGTTTCGGAGACTACGTGTCGGCTCCACAGCAGGGCAGGGGAGAATCTCACCACACACCGCTCCAGAGGGAGGAAGGAGAGGAAAACCGAAGAGATGGGCGCCAATGAGCAACATTTCGTCTCAACACGGCACTAAGCCTGAGCGTGTGATCTCTGCTGGCCTTTTCTTCCCTGAGATTACAACGCTGATGAGAAAACTTCTTCAATGATGTAAAACTCTGTGCTACACATTTTCCCACAATGGTATCAAAAGTACCTAAAATGTTTAATTACTATTAAAGTATGATGTAATTTCTCGAATGAATGATCTGGATCTTTGAAACAAGGTGGCCTAACAGTTTGATGATCATTCGTGTAGCTGTTGGTGTGGCTGTTTGGTTTTGCTGGTGTGACACAGGCCGTAGTTAAGATCCCTGGGATGCTACGGCCACGTGGCCTAAGCACAACCGTCAGCTGCCTCGCCTCAGACATGTAAGACTAACTTCTCTCGGACTCAATTCCCTCATTTGTAAACCTGAGGCAATCATAATAACTACTTCAAAACTTTGTCATAGGCTTAAATAAGCTAACACTTATAAATCACTTACCATAGTGGATAGCATAGCAATAAATAAGGCATAAAAGTAGCCATTTTTGTCATTCTATGTCCATTTGCCTGACCTCTTGTTAGGCGCATGTCACTTTACATATCCAGGTCAACTTGAAAACCAGTATCTTGCTTTCTTCTCACCATGACAGTGAATGTAGACAATTTAGAAACCACACTTTAGAGGTACTTTAAACTTTCAAATTATGTCAGACTTGTGAGTTTTTCACATAATTGCATAGAAATTTGGCTTATAAACAAACCCAGCAAAATATAATTTTTTAAGTATAGCAAATTTTTTTCTTAGAGGTCTTTTAATAAAATACTGAAGGTTTTAAAGGATCTTATTATTTTTATCCAAAAAACATTTATAGTGATTTTATTATGTGGTAGACACTTCAGTATTAAACAGAGACCTTCCTTAGCAGAAATAAAAAGGGCAAAATAAAATTTACAAGGCCACATTCCAAAGAAAGGCCTGCTTGCGTGTTCACACGTGGCCTCACCACATGTAAAGCGCCTCGTTATCCAGCCGTCAGTTACCTAAGGCAGACATGTGATCTGGAATTAGGAACCCTCACGTTTCGCAGCTTTGCACACTCGCTTTCCCGCCCACCTGGCTGAGCACCAGCATCTGCTCATCACTTTTCACCACCTTTCCCTGCTCATTTAACAATTTCTCACGGAATTTGCATCAGTAGTGACAAGAGCGTAGAGTCAGTCTGGTTTCATTTTATGGCGCTCTGCCTTCCGGTGCTCTCTAGAGGAAAACAGAGTGTTGAAACTGACCATGTCACAAACATGCAGCCAGTATCATCCAGAATCTACTCCTACTGTGACAGTATTGGGGTCCAGGAATAACGCACAAGTGAAAAGCCCTTCACAGACTAGTAAGGGAAGAGCGCTCTTAATGTCACTTGGCGGAAGAAGGAAATTGTTTGACTGAAAGATAGTAGGGACTTTATTTTAGCAAACTGTTTTTATTCATAACAGAGCCCTGGACTTAACCAGCAACACACTTATGCACCGCATTTTGATGGTACCAAACCTTTTCACTGTACAGTTCGTTCCTGGCTGTCTTTTCTTGGACTAAACTTCAGCTAGTAAGGATTGGCCCACCTGACCAACTACAGAGCTGAAAAGGCATCATCCTAACAACTGCACTCCACTGCAGATGGGCCTCATGAGCCCGGCCACCCTCTAATGGGAACGTGCTCCAGCTTATGTACCTGAACTAAGAGCTGGTTAGGAATATGTGATGGAGACCACTACGAAACAGATCCGAGCAGGACTTAAATTAACCAACTGGCTTTTCATGTTCACTTGTGCATCTGTCCAAGGCCTGGGCTCCTTGTCTGGAGGTGGGCTGTGGACTCATAGTAAGTGAACCTGTGTGAGTCACTAACCCCTACTAAGGTCTGTATTGATAACGAAGCCGGAAAGCCTCAAAGGGTAAGACAAAGTCACAGCCAAGTACACCTGGATCCATCTCAACTAGATAGAGACTGTAGCCTCAGGCATCTCACCCCTGAGTGGATTAACTTAACCCTTATTAAGGATTTATCAGGTTAAATAACCCTTAGTTACTGCAGGCTGATCAGGCCTGCAATCTCCCAAGTGAGTGGACGGTCAAGGTTTAAATAAATGAGACAGTGGAAATGATTTCAGGGATACAGGAGGGACTAATTCTCTTACAGCTTCAATATTCTCTGAGCTTAGCCAAAGACTTCTCTGGGAAGCCCATATGTATTTGGTTTTCAAACAAAGGAGGAGGATACTCAAGAAAATGCAGGAATCTCGCAGGACCTTGGGAGAATTTTCCCAAGTAGTAAATGGTGTCAGTCAGGAGAACTACCTTATCTTTAGGTTGGCATTTATTGTAGGAGTGTGGAGCCTGCAGCTGCAGTTTCCTTGTAGTTAATTGGGGTTGGAGCCAAATGTCCTCAGCTGTGGCCTTATCTTGTCCTTTGAGGAGTCATAGATTTACAGACCAATACAGGCCTCAGGTTGACCAGGGACTCACAGAGGTTTACTTGCTATAAGTTCACTGTCCATCTTCAGACAAGGTGCCTAAGCTTCAGACAACTCACAAGAAGACACAGAAAGCCAACTGGTTAATATGAAATCCAGCTCAGAGCCACTTTGTAATAGTCTCCAGCAAGGATTAATTTAACACCTTACTGGGAGACGTCCTTGAGTGATTCTGCCCTTCTTGAGTACTCCCTGCCCTTCTGATAACCAAATAAATACTGGCCACCCAGAGAAGGTCTTGGTCTTATCCCTAAGAGAATCTTGAATTCTGTGAGAGGGCTCTGATCCTCTTGGAGCCCTGAAATCATTCCATTTGCCTTTTTATTTAGCCTCGGCCATACACTCATTCGGGAGATTGTGGACCTGATCAGCATGCAA